CTAAGGCGAAGGGCAAGCAAGATGCCTTGGGAAACGGGATACCATAGGTTTCCCTAGAACCCAGCAGTAGCAGACAACAATCCAGCTGCGTGGCTCAGCAATCCTAAAGCCAAAGCTGTCTCCAGGAGAGTGGTTAAACCCTTCCCACATTGAGTTCCCCGAACTTAGAAAGATCATCCTACATCAAGATGGAGGAAACCTCTGGAAAGCAGGCTCTCAGAATCAATAACCCATTTCACTGTGCTCAATATCCAAATCTGAGGATCTCCTACTTCAGGAAACAGTGTCAAGGAGCCAGATTAATAGATGCAACGAGCCAAAGCTAATCTGCAGGCTAGATCTTACTTGTCTCAATCATTAAAACGTATCTGATTTCACAAGAAGTCATGTTTCGAAAGAACTGAGCTGCAAAAGAACATCGCATCTCAACTGAGAGAGTCCAGAAATAGGTAAAAAAGATTTTTCAGAGAAGAGAATAAGCTCAGCAAACCAATCCATTGGAAGTGCAAATCAGATTATTATTATTATGTTACTGCGGGCATTTTATCATCTGCTGAGCAACAAGGAGAGAAAATGAACAGCAAAGCACTGAGCTGAGAAACAGAAAAAGCTCTCATTGAAAAAAATTCCTAACATTCCTAATAATTTGGGTAGATTTTCATTCAAAGGCATGTCTGTCTACTCTCAGATTTATGGCTGTATCTTATAACAACAGAAGATGCCCTGATCTTATATTCTCACGTAGCTATATCTTCAGCAGATTGGGCCAGACTGGTCAAATCTCACAGAGCACTTCTTACATACTTATGCATAAGAAACGAAAGAAGTTCAGACTGAACAGGTCCCATCTCTTCTCAAATCTCACCGTCATTTTTATTTTAGATAATTTCAAGACAGTAGATTCAAAAGCATACAAAAGCTGTGTGTTACCAATTGCTACCGTTGTCACTCTATGCAAATAAAAATACACATATCCCTGTCCTCACAATAATGTTGCTGAGTGCACAGACAGCTCAATTAAGTGGGTAAAACTGGCCACAAATAAGCTCTGTAATTATTTTGTGGGCACATTGCGGATCTCGTTGTCAATTTAAGTTAGAGGACCACAGCTGCTAAAAGCCAAATCTTAAACTGTTTTCTTAAACTGTTCTATTTTCTGCAAGTTCTGTAAAATACTTCATTTCTTTGCCGAAGGATTATTGACCTGGTTATCATGCACTGACCTTAAGTGCACCAGAAATCACAGACAGAGCATTCACGCGTATACTCTGTTCTACTTCTCTACTTGTGATGACTCAAGGCGAAGTCACTCATTTAGTAAAAAGGAAGCATCAGACGGCTCGAGTAAGATCTAATCTCATCTAAGGAACCATAATTCTGTGCCTATAACAACAGACCCAAATAGCATCCATATGATTTTGGAGCCACTTGTGCACATGAGTAACATGCAACTTTTCAATTTCAATTACCGTATCAATCCTGACTCTCTAGAACTGTATTCCCTAGGGAAAAAGCAGGTAAGGTAAAAGAAAGCTTTTAGGTTTTAGCTACACTGAGGCTCTGAAATAAAAAAATAACTCCCTAAACTATTTACTACTACTTTCACACTTGTAAAAAAGTCTTCAAAATTTAAGACAGGAGTCGAGCAGCCTTAGTTCATTTTACCTTTGTGTAAAGGAAAATCTTTTAAAATTGAAAGTAGCCAAAGCAACAAGTTACAAGAATATCACATCATTAAGTGCTATGAAAGTTGTTCATTAAAAGGCATATAATAATTTTTACATCTTTTTCAGTTAGGTTCTAAATTCTTTCTTTGTTTATTGAGTGAAGAACTATTTCCTAACATAATTTGAAAAAAAATTTAAACCTCCACCTTAGGTGTAAAAACAAGGTAGAAACCTGAAAAGCTCCCAACCCAGTCAAACTGTGTGCAAGTCCTCACTGTACCTCACCAGCTGCCTCTTCACAAGGACAGAAACCCTACTGTAAAGTGAAAAACAGGTTCCAAAGCTTATACAAAATAATATGCTTGCAGTAATAGTCCTTACTCTAAATTTTAAGAGGCTTTCACCATTCTGTATGTTCCTCTGCTTGGAGTACACATGTGCAGTAACAATTCCATGGAAAGCAGCAACTTTTCAGGTTAGAATCAGTAATACCTCAACAAAGTGTAAAACAGAAAAACACCAAGTTATGTCCAGTACAAGGGTGAATACTAAACAGGCTTTAGCCCTTCCCAAAGAGCAGTATTTAAGGAGGCCCATACACTAGGGGCTTCTCTCAGAACTGCTCTATTTATCATAGAATCACAGAATGGTTTAGGTTGGAAGGGACCTGAAACATCATCCAGTCCAACCCCCTGCCATGGGCAGGGACACATCTCACCAGACCAGGCCGCTCAATGCCCCATGCAACCTGGCATTGAACACTGCCAGGGAGGGGGCATGAAGCATGAATGAAGGACTCGGGTTTTATTCATATATTTGATATACTGGAAAGAAAAAAAACAAAACAATACAAAAAACTTTTAACTTGTTTTCTACAGGTTTGTAGCTAAAATCTGCAACACATCAATTTCATCTGCTCTCAGTAAAGACATATGAAACTGAAAATGAAAAAAGAGCAATAATTTAAATTGCAGTAAAACTGCACCTTGTTTAGACAATTCTATTAGAAGAGGCATAAAAACTGCTGTTTTTCAGTAAGCCTACAAAAAGATTGTGAATGCTACATTTTACTCTTTTTATTACCAGCTGGATTTTCTGAATATAAAAGTGATTTACTCCTTTCCCCAAAGTTTCTTCTACCTTTATCTTTTTCCTCACATTGACCTACTCTGTTTCACCGTAAATGTGAAGACAAAGATTCAAATTGTCTCAAGACTTAGAATGCTGGAAGGATTTCCCCGCAGACATTGATAAAACTAGATCCACGTTTTGAACGTTAGTCTTTATGAACTTCCTCAGAAAATTCTGAGCAAATTTATTTTTTGTCGGTCAAAACTAAATGTTATCCAAATAACAACTCAGTCAATATATTTATTGTGTTGTCATATACAGAACAACAACTCAAGTAGAATTCCAGTTGAAAGACTATCTGAAAACATGGTTATTTTCAATTGGAAAAGGTTTTCAAAGCCACCAAATTGGTTGGAAACTAAAAAATAATACAAACACGTTTGCAACCTCACTCAACTACTGTGAGCCAAACAAGACATCTAAGGAATATGAAATACAGAATATGCATTTAGCTATACATGAGTGATCAAAGGTGTACAGACAGTGTCAATATTACCACCATATATTTAGTTTTAGAAACTTCAAAAAAAAAAAAAAGACAATACCATTTAATGTCTTAAGATTTCATAAACAAAAGTTATACTGGACAACAGTGTAGCTACAGCAGGGAAAAAAAATCCCTTAACAAGAAATATTATTTGGAAATAAAACTTTAAAAAGCTTTTGCAAAAATCACTGTTTCCTGTCAGAATGACATCACTCTTCTGCCAACTACAGCAGCTTCTATGCCCCATTTTGGCCACTTCTCCCACAAGCTTTCAGGATTTCTCATTTGTCATTTGTGGCGCCTGGAACACCCACCTTCCTCCTCTTGAAGTCCCGTTCTAAGATCCACTTCTGCAACATTGCCTACAGAAAGAGTAGGCAACTAAAATACTCGTTCACTGTGTCAACAACGTGCCAAGCATCAGCTTTCACTGTGTATGCCATACAGCATGGCATTCATCTCACTTCACCGTTCTTACTACACCGTAATGATTTCTCCTTCAGTGCATCAAATCTAAAAGAGTGGATTTAATATCTAAGAATCACTTTGGAGAAATACTGTCTACTTGTTTTGAGAGCACTAGTTGCACCTCTCAATGCTCACAGAAAGGAAAGTGCATTCAACATTATAAATATTCCACTGTGCCTGTGTGCATCTGTGCTACATACACATATGTAATGGACATAAACAGAAAAGAACAGCCTATTTGATTTTCTTTACACTGCAGTATATTTCAATCCTTTCCTGACTCGCCTGAAATTTCTCATCACAGTAACTTATGAAACTGAATTGGAAAGCTGCATTTAAGCGTTTGTTTGTTTGTTTTAAAAAAGCCTTCTACTCTAAACCTATTTCATTCTGTCTTTGAATATCTGGATTAAAATTTAACCAAAGGTCTATAGGAAATGCTTATGTTTATGTGGTCTACCAAGACTATGTTCACATCTGCTATTAAACAACTGCATTTCTGGGCAGTCATGGAGGCAGACTTGAAGCAGTAACACCTTTCTAGAAGTCTGAAGGGATTTTTAAATTTTATTACAGAGAAAATCTAGCATATATGTTGCTTACACATCTTAAATGCAAGCATGTCATGAGATGGTATTACTGAACTTCAGGTGACATGAACCCCAAGTCATGCTTCCAGTCTTCCATCTATTTCTACATGCCACTCCATATTAAAGTGAAATACTTTACTGGCTAATTTATTTACATCAGTAAGAAGCAGAGCTTCAGTAACGTCAATGCAGTTCTAACATAAAATAATGGGGCAAAATTATTTAGAATGGGTGATTTTGTAACTTTGTGTCATTACAAATGGGAATTAGAATACCTGAGCAGATAAACACGCTGCACAAGGCATTTTCAATAAATGCTTGAAGAAGCAAAATGCAAAATCACAACAAAAACACTGCAGTCACAACACGTAAACACAAAATATAACCAATAACCCAACTTAAGTTACAAATATAATTTTTAAAGATGAAAATCAAAACCCTGGCAAGCATATAGCTGAAATTTACATGTAGAAATGCACTAAAATTAAAAGACCTGCGACTGAAAACAGTGTCATTCACAGCTTAAGGCTAAATGAAGCCCTTCCTTGGACATATTTCACATACTTGAAACTATGGTTATTTTCAATTGGAAAAAGATTTTCAAAGCCACAAAACTGGTTGGAAATTAAAGGGGAAAAATAAGCTTATTCAACTTACATCTTTTTCTGACCGATGGGGGAACATCGATGATTGGCTGTAGTACATGTTTTCATCATGGTAGTCACCATCAACCCCCTCTACAAACTTCTTCCTTGAAGCACCAAACATGCTGTTTGTCACCTAAATAAGAAGAAAAACAATTATATACTATATATGGTTTGGTTTGCTACATACTTATAATACTATATATTTCAAATATCTGTTAAGATTGTTAAAAAAAAAAAAACACCTGCTTCTAAACATTTGAAAATTCCTCTTGAAAAATATTTTTTGTATATTGTCAACGTAATAGTTCTTCCAAGTGGGATTTTCATCTGACAAACTTGTATTTCAGAGAGGACTGGGGTGGCAACAGGGGACAGACTTTGTTTTTTGGAGGGATGTTTGTTTGTTTGTTGGTTGAGTTTTTTGGTTTTTGAGTCTCATGACCTTTCACTCAGGTTCATTTAAAATCAAAGCATGCCAGACAACGAAACAGCAAATTTCTCAATTTTCCTCTCCTCAGGCAAACATATTCCATTTAAAAGAAGAAAATATAGAAACATTCTTTAGAGCTCAGCCACCTTATGCGAAATAACAATAATGGAAAAAGGAAGAAAAACCCCAAAACATCTGTGAAATCACTCCCATGTCTCATCACCACAACTTTGAAAAAGTAGCTTTCTACTCGACCCTGCGCACTCAGAGCCGTGATTAACTAAGAGAAGGTCAAGCTTAACCACACTCAACTTCATCGCAGACTGGCAAAGTTACTGCAGACAGTCCATAAAAACAGCACTACATTTTATTCTGTCCTTGCTCCCAGAAGCGCGCGCACACAGAGCTGCTAAGTCAGGAACTGGAAACTGAAGAAACAGCAGCCACAGAACCTCACTTCATTAGAAAATTTCATCCCGCAGCAAGGTCATACACCAACGCTAAGGCATCTACTGCACGCAGTGTGCATTTATACACCCAACTCTCTATTTACGTAAAAATACACACACCCCTGTTAAGTTCCTAATCTGACTCCAAAACACTATCACAGCACTGCGTGGGCTAACCAAGCCCTGTTTTAACCTAATAGGTTAATGTTCAAACCAGAAAAATGGCCGACACTGGTCAGCGCTGAGCAACTCACAGCTTCTTGTGCCTTACAGGGATGGTTAGCAACCCTACGCAAGATACCTTCAAATGGATCTTTAACATCCTGAAAGGTAAAGAACAGTTATTATATCCTCTGACTTACTATCTTCACTACTGACAGCATTAGCTTAACTTAAAAAACAGCAAACATAGGACAGTTTAAAAAAAAAAAAATTTAGAGCCACTTTGTACTATCTTAGGCTTATGCTTGAAATTGAAATTTCAAAACAGTTATTCTTGTTGGCTGCAAGGAGAGTTACTTTCAGCTTGAAATCCTCTTATCCCTACTGACACAAAATCACTCTGATATTCCTCACGGTGTAGTGTATTCAAATTTCACCTTTACCGACAAAGATTTCTAGGCAGTGTTTATAACATAGGTGCTCCTACACTAGCAACAACTTAACACCATAATTTCAAAGTCATAGGACTTTTGAGTAAAAGTAAAGTCAACACTTGGGATGCATTTGATACAGCTACAATCACAGAATTGCCCTAAAATGTTCAGCTAAACAAGCGCCTATTCCACTACTCCTACAGGAATATTTCAGATATTTAGATTACTGATGTCTCAGAACAAATGTATAGTCTGTTACACACATGTGAAGGCATGACAACGTACTGCACAGCTTCTCCAGACGAAACTTGTCTTTTGTGATATTTACAAAAATGTGCAAATGGAAGGTCCCAAACTGCTTGACCACATTCAGCTGACTTTCACACTTGTAGTGAAGATTTCATTACACCATAAGCATACCCCACTGTGCTAATCTCCTTACAATGCAATTATCACCTACCAGATGGGATGGAGCATTTAACAGGCTAAGGGGATTATCTTGTCCTTTGCTCTGCCTGAATAAAGTGCGGCGAGATGAGCAGTTGCCTTTAACCGCTGTAAAAAGGATAGGGAAATGCTTTGGTGAAGCTATCCTGAGCAATGAGGAGAAGCTGAGTGTCTCAACCAACAACTGCTCTTCAGAAGGGAAAAGGCAGCTTCTCACAAGTCCTGAAGAATTTTTTGGTGCTCCTTTAACAATATCTGGGATAAGAGATTTTTTTGCCATATAACCTTCTCTTGTCATACACCATCAGAATAACAAAATTTAATTGTTATAGAAAGCAAGTCACTGAAGCATACACCATGCTGTACTAATGTAATACCTAATCGTGAGCTACAGTACAGGAACTATGTAAGGGGGAAAAAAACAATACTGTCTTTGACCCTGTAGCTTTTGATCTTATTTCCGCAAAGGTATACACAGGGCTGGCTACACATGCACCGTAAAGTTTTCTGAGTCAGTGGGGTAAGGTCATAGTTTTCAGTCTTAAAATATACATTTAAAGCTGCAGCAAGAAAGCTACTATGTCCAAATATGATGTCTATATGCTGAAAAGCTGAAAGATATTTTGAAAACACTCTCCACTGAATTTAAATTGTTTAAAAGATTATTTTCTATATTGATAATTGTATAAGACTGTGGCCCAAAAACTAATCCAAGATTATGCCCTGAAGACTGATGAAGTGTGCTGATATTAATATGGAATCTCAGAAGAGCATGGTTATTAAAAAAAGAAAAGAAGAAAACTTTTAATAATTAAGACAGGTTAAATATTGGTATTTTTATTGGCAACCTGTATTTCCACACGATATCCAGCTGGCCTGCGTTGATGACCTCAGAGCAGAGCTGTGCACTGCAGGCTGCAGCTGCAGGGGAAGAGGAGAAGGCCAGAGGAGCCCTGCCTGCAACCCAGCTGCAGCGCTGCGCCCGACTGCTCAGAAAGCCTTCAAAAACTTCTTGCAGAGACTGACACTTCTTCACAGCAGCATTTTTATAAGCGATTCTGTCTTTCAATGCTGCCAAGAGAACAAGTCGCGTGCAGCGCTCAAGCTGTCCACGCTCCCATGGCGGGAAGCGGTACAGGTGCTGGAGGCCATTCTGGCAGCTGCCTGCACCCCTAACAGGATTTCACTTCACCAGAAAGAGTTGCCGCTTGTTCTCAGGGTGACCCACAGCACAGATCACAACGCAGAAATGTGGCATTGCAATTCACACTGCCATCCAGCCCTGTTACAAAACTAACAGCATGATAAAATGAGACAACCGCTAAAGACCTGCAGCTGAAAGGGGAGGAACTGGGATTAGAGACTGAGGCTGCAGCTGCTGTGGCCTGGCTGCTCACTTCTTGCTTGTTCTTAGGCTAACACCAGCAGCCAGTTCATCTACTTCCCTGTAGCCAGTGACAGAAAACAGTGGGAAAACTTCTGAACCAGAGCACCTATCCCCGTGTAGGCTTTTATAATGTGACAGCAGGTTTACACAACGATGGTGTCAGACAGTTGCCAAGTTAGCAGCAGGCATCTTCCTATCCACTCTACTCCAGTATTCACCGACATATTCATTAGTCAGTCATGCTACAAGCATATGTGCAGATATTGAAAAAACACTGTTGCAGCACTATTTGTAAGAAGGTGTGAGAATAACGGAGGCTGTGCCAAATGAGGGCAGATCTGCAGATGGAACTTTGCTGCTTATTTCTTAGGCCAAGAAGCCACCAGGAAACCTCATACACAGACTGCAGCTCCTTTTTCATAGGCTTATAGATCAGTGTCCAATCAGCTACAAAAGTAAATACAGCAAAGTTCACGCAGTACTTATAAATACATTTTAAACCCTTTGGAAAGTACCAGTAACCTGAGATTTTGTACCTTCACAGGGTCTAGATCGATGAGGTGAAAAGTAGAAATGAGCTCTTGTATTTAAGTCCCTCATTCACACATATATATCTATATGCACACATGTTTAAGCCAACACAATCTCACAGAAGTGGTACTCCAATTATGTGGCAATTTTATTAAATAAATGATTCCTGTCTACTCAGTCTGATTTCATACAGAGCCCTCTTCTAATCCTGTAAGTACTTTTCCTCTTCTACTGTGAGAACTCAGTCCTCTGTTGCACAAGACACATTGGCAGCTCAACCATTCATTAAAAATGTAAAAATGGTGCACTTCTGTCAATTCATCCTTTAGCATTATATTGCAAAAGTACTTATAACTCCCACTGGGAGACCCATGTACAAATATTATTAGAAAATATTTGTGGTAACAGAAGAAAGAAAGAAGGAGCTACACATTAGGATGGAGTTCAGAGAAGCGACCAGCCATGCTGCCGCACACCGTGCCCAATTCTGATCGGGTGAACACAAGCACTTGTCGCAGCACGAGCTCATCATGTTTAAAAATTAGTTTGCCCACAACTTCATGTTAACAAAGCAAACCTGCAAGACCTTTAAATTCTTCTGTGCGATATTTCCTACCAACCACTACTACAGGGGAACTAAAAGCACCACACAACTGTTAAGGCCTTGAAGTAACTAATAAGCAGTCTGCTGTGGTCATTGACCTGTATCCTTGAGCTGAGTACATAACTAACAACACTTATTGTTAAAATTTAAAAAAAAAAAAATTCAAGAAAAATCCTTTTCATTGCTAGAAACACTGCAGTATAGCATACTTCAGCATACAAAAACTTGTTTGTTAGCAATAACTGAAAATACATTACCGACACGGAATTTGTAAGGAAAAACTATTAAAAATTTTGTCATCTTAAGTTGCAAGAAGATCTTCTCTATAATCACTTATAAAGCGATGCTATGATTGTACCTTAAATAAGTTTAACAGCCTGAATAAAATTACAGTATTAAAATATGAAAACTAATTATGTTTCTGTTGTGCAATATTACTATAGGTAGTGTCCAAGGAGAGCTCACTCATGACATTAACACAACCAACTCTAAACTAAGAGAATATTACAAAATGTCCCTGTAGAAAGGCTATTTTTAATTTTGGATCGAGCAAAAAAAAATTAACCATTGCACTACAACTGATTAAACTCATCATCTTTATAAGAGCCAAAAAGATATACAGTAACGCAAGTTGTAAAAAAGAAAACACTTTAGGAATTTTAGTAATATCTTTCCTTCCCTGCTCCTCCAACGACTGTGGTATTTGTCAACATGAACACTGTCATTATGTGAGAGCAATTAGAAGTTGTAATCTCAGTCTCCTTAGTTACAGAGCTTCCATCCATCCACATACTAAGGCTTCTGATGTTGCTGTTTAGGTCTTACTAAGCAAATTTTATCATTTACTCTATCTTTCTCATCTGTTTTCACTTGCATATCCAAAGTATCTACGAAAGTTATCCTTAATGAGCCTTTCAGTAAAAAAATAAGTGTCTAAAAAGAATAATTAAGAGCCTATCAAAAGTCACATGCTGGTAACCACCAAATCACCCTGCAATTTAAGCCAAAACATAGGTTTTGGAATTCCATCAGTTGGTAAAACATAGCATAAATTCAATTCATAATAAAAACCACTACCATTTATGATCCTACTTCTCAATGTCAAAAATAACTCCTATTTGGCCCAAACTGGAACTGATATACAATAGGATACATACTACCGACTGGTAGATGCAAAAGATCTCTCAAATCCCAAACCTTTAGTGATAAGTTACAGCTATTAAAAAACACCATGAAAAGTACACAAGTACAAATAGATACATTTTATTTTCAGAATGAAAGATAAAAAACTCCTGAAGTTGATATCCTCTGTTCCTTCATTTTATTTCACAATCAGTCACTCCATTTCTCCAAGGTGACCGATAACCTCTAATAGTATACTATACGCTTACGCTATGGTAGCCCTTCAAACCACTTTGTAGCATCACGCAATCACGGAGTACAGAACATTTAACTATATTTCTTTCTTGTTAAAAAGTCAAAAGTTTCAAGCACTAAGGAAATAAAGAACATACAGTTACGATTTTAAGACTATCCTCCACTCATATTCTCAAGAACAGCCATCTACAAGGTAAAATTTTTTCAAATTAATAAAATACAGTAAAGCTTCCTAAAGCGACACTAAACCTGTGAATCTCTGCTGCAAGCAAACTATGTCAGAAAAGTGCAGTCTCTAACATCAAGCAAGCCTCAGAAATTCTCCTGACCAAGATCTACACGCTAATGGTTTTAAACCCTTAGCTATCCTCAACTATTACAAAATGAACATTTTACAACACTCTTGAAATAAAACAGCACAGGAGGAATAAGAAAAAACTATCCCACATTAAAATACACATAAGACAACACTGAAATTACTAAAGCTAAGCTAGAAAATGGAGATTCTAAGAAGGTCCATTTGGTTTCCTAACACAGATAACACCACGTCCATCCTGGGGCAGAGTCCTGCAGGTTCTACTCCTACTAATCACGAGCACAAGGTTTGGAAGGTGTGAGAAACCACCAGTGGTTGAGAATACAACTTTGCATTAAGCTGAGTTTGGTCAATGAGATGCACTCACTCAGGAAATAATCTTCAGACACACCATTCAACAGAATCCAAACGGACACAAGAAAGACATTTCAAAGATGAGAAAGGCAGCAAGGGACCTGCAGAAGCGACCAAAAGAGCAGCTGAACTAGCGCTCCACCTGGAGCGGCTGTGGGGAGAAAGCAAGAATACATTTCACCTTATTATTTATTATTTTTTATTTCCTGACGAGAAGCAGGAGCATGTCCTTCATAGACACAGAAATGAAGTCACAAGTCCTGACCAACCACACACATCTGCACACTCAAACACAAGCTGTAAAACACACTGCTGGATTATCTGTCAAAGACAGATAATGACAGGATTTTGTAATCAAAAACAACTATTACTTGTCTGATAATATTGTAGATAATATTATTTACTCAATAATAAGAAAAAAACCCCAAACCAGTATATCATATTCAAGAGCCTATCCAAAATGAGATTACATTCACCTACTTTCCCTCTTCTTAAAGTTTCCAGTCATTTATATTTACAATTCATTCAAGACTAAGAGTGGTTCTAGATTTAATTTAACATAGCATTTCTGACTGACTAGTGTAAAATGTGATACGTCTGGCTGTGCAATGCCCTTCAACCTTAAGGCTGCACCATGAAAGACGCTGGCATTTTAGAAAGAGGTGACAATCATGCCAGAAACTTCAGGGGGCAATATGTTGGCTCTTTTAAATTCAATACTATTTTAGTATGAACAACAGTGATCAACAGAAAGAATCTTGAAAATAAATGATATTCTGGCATACTCCTCTTACCTACTTAAGACACTCCTCAGCCATAACATTTTTTAAAGAAAGAAACTAGTTCAGTTTGTAAACAAAAAGTAACTTTCAAAGTGTGTTCCCAGTTGATGATCCAACAAGATAATTGCCAGCTAAATATAAACTGTATGTGTATCACATCTATTTACTGATGGCCTTTTGGGAATACCATCAAAGCAGAAATCAGTTATGCTAAGAAGCCAGACTTAACCAAACTTAAGTTCAGAAACCAAACAAGCTTCTAAAGTACCTATGTTATCATGGGAAAACAGAATAAAACCCAAGAAGCAAGCAAAGCAGCACATAAAGTAACAGATAGGAAAACTTGCATTTCTACTAACTATTACAACAAATCTGCCTATGAAAATGAGTATTTGGCTAATATGGAAATATGTCAGCCTTAGAAAGGAGAAATTCAGCTGCCGAGTTTGTAAATAAATAAGCAAAACCCCCCAAGTTCCATTCTGGAAAGATAATGAAATTTGCTTCAAAATACTCTCATAATAAACTTATCACTACAGTGGCACTTCTCCTGGATCCTCAGAAGTTTATTCTGCAAGTTTCTATCAACCAGCATTTTGCACCTCAACCATGAGAAAAAATGCCACTGAAACATATCAGAATGCCAACTTCTTACCTTATTCTGTTTGATCACCTTTGACTCATCCCATTAACTATTTCACAAATGCACCCGTTGAAAACTGCTTGCAGTTTTAACTAAAAACGGATTCTGCAATTGAACAACACTGCAGTTTGCCATACAGACTGCATTAGTGCTGTTGAGTATTTTGCTGTAGACAAACCAAGTTTTGCTGTATTTCAGAAATTACTCTTTCATAACAAAATAGAATAAGATATCCTCTAATTCAGCAAATTAATCTATTTGAATTTTATCTCCAGTTTCATGCCTGGCTTTGCCTTTTTTGTTGTTTTGTAATGTCGGGTTTTTTTGGTGGTTTTTGTTTAGTTTTTTTAGAAAATAAATAAAAAGGGACTTTACTTAGTTAGAAATTCTAGATCTATTCAGACGTACTCTAGAGTTCCTTAACAGAGCATATAAATGCTAAAGCTCAGCTTTAAAAGATTAGGAAATCAGCTACTGCACTAAGTTCTTTAGAAATAACAAAATCCTATCATTCCCTCCAGTCCCCAGACGAAGAAGTCGGAATTTGGCATTTTCTTACACACTGCATTACTCAGAGCTAATTGATAAAAAAAAGCAATTTGTGTTCAGCAGAACTCTGCTGCAGCAAATGGTGAGTATGGTCTAACTCACATGATGTGTGTGCGGTCTGAAAGCCAGACCAGGTACCTGCAGAAATGAACCCATAAAATAAAATCATACTAAGCACACGCAAATTGTTCTTCTCAAAGACTTTGAACTGTGACAGATTCTATGCATTTCTCATGGAGGCAAAAAAGGAAATAGTGATAAAAAAAATCAACAGTCACAGAAAAGTGCACTTCCTGCTCTAAAACTCATACCTGTAAGAAATAAGCTGTAGAACTAGTCATAATGTAAATAACTTTAGCTGAAAACTCAAGGAGGGGTGCAAGAAGCAAATGTAGGGAACAAGAAGTTTCAGCCTGAAAAAACACACTGCAATTTGTTTAAGCAACAGAAAAGACGGGATTTCAAACAGGGAAATGCCAGGCTGCGGTCAGAGGCCTGGTACCATCCACTCTCTCTATCCTGTAGTCCTCTGCTAGAATGCACCAAACCAGGACAGCTGTTTTCCTAGCGTATGTTTCACGATACGTGTATGGGCATATAGCAGAGAAAAGATCCTCAAGGGACATGAAGTGCTAATGAGACAGGCAGTAAAGCAAGCATGGAATTCTAGTGTCTTAATTCACAGAATCCCCAGACAGGAGAAATACGTTAAAAAACGCAAAGAAATTAAGCATGATTTTTTTAATGAATAGCTCTGAGCAGTTTAAGGGTAAAACAAAAGGAAAAAAATACTTTTAACAGGTTTTCATTTTTCATATGTATTCAGTAGTTGTCACATATTCACACAACACATTTTTAACAGCAAAACAGGAAGTTGGCCAAGTAAGATTAAGTAGGTCGGACTTGAGCTTCACAATCAAGAGACTTGCTATGCTAAAATACTTCTTCTCTACCAAGTGCTACAGCTTCAGTATCACCATGACATACTTTGCCACCTCTGATGCTTGGTATCACTCGTAGCCACTCGAAACCTTTTTTCACAAACAGACAACATGGATGATGCACACACAGACAAACAGAGTTTAACCTGAAAAACAAACCAGGTCTTAATGTAGTCCAAGCCAGGCAATGGCTCTCACCAAGGTCCCATTTCTGAAGCTGAGATCACTGGTCCCAGTAGTACAGAAATTATATAAAGGTTTCATTAATAAGGAGCATTTCAGAAGTCTTTTATACTGATGAGTCCCCTAAGAAGTTATAAAAACAAAAGAAAACCCCTGGTAGAGTAACATGCAAACCATTTTCCTGAATTATGCTCATTGTAACTAGTATGTTAACAGCTGATTCCCCTCCCAAGAAAGGGTCCTGAACTGTTCTGCAAGCCAACTCCCTGCTACCACTTACTGAAAGCAAAAAAAGCCATTTGCCCATGCAGAGGACAGATACATATTCGCTTGCCAACATTGCTGCAAAGGGTCTACTTTTTGGTACTACACAACAGAACCATGTGTTACTCTACAAATTCATCTGCAAGCTCCGTTACGCTGCCTCTTTTTAAAACATCTACACATTCAGTTACACGCCAGCTTAGTGTGACATTACACTTGAAAGAAAAAAAAGTAAATACTTAAGCCTCCTAAATGGTAAGACATAGTTAAAACAATAAATAAAAGTAGCACACTAATGCAACAGCTTGTGTACTGATAGCCAAACATCTTATTCATTTTGTACAATTAAAGCCTTTTAATTCACAAGTAAACTGCATGCCACTGCTTCAAAACCTGCACTGAATTTCTTGCATTTGCCAAATCAGAAACTTTTACAAGGAAAGCTGGTGGTGAGGAAAGACAAAACAACGCTCCTAAAGGGCTTAAGCAGGCTTTATCCCTCCAGGGGATGCAAAATTGAAGCCCACCAGCAGCAATAATGCTCGCAGGGCAGGGGGTGGTGGCATGGGGACAGGAGTGGATGAGTGGGAGACGAAGGTCGGCCAGGCCTCAGAGGCTGGGAGAGCCTTTTCTTCCTTTCCCTAAATCTTGCTGTGGCCCCTTATTTCACGTCTAAGCCAAGCTGATATCGTTTCATCTGCTACGTGGTGTCCTCCTGCTTTCTCTGTAGTTATTACCTTACTTACTCTTTAAGCAGCATTTAACAGTGGCTACACACTCAAATCAGTTGAAGCCAGAAATACACAGCAATAAGTGGGTTTTTTTCTTTTATTTCTGTAAAATATTAAGCCTCGTTAAATGACACATTTTGCAATAACTATTAGGTAGTCTGGATCTGTTCACTGACACCATCTTTCATGAGTTCATTTACCATTTAAAAAGTTTTGCACTATATATCAGACAGGGAGATAAAGCTTATAAACAGAGAGGAAAAACTCAGCTTTGAAGTAATTCAAATTTGGTTTATGATCTCAGGATATAGACATTTTCATCACATTGAATCTCTTCTATTGTGGGAAAAGAATAAAAAAAATAAAATTAAAAAATTGGACTCCTTTGGCTTTCAGCTGAGACTCTGGGCCAGGAGGCCAGATTTCTGCATATGTGCTTTAGCTAAAATAAAGGTAACCGCTGCTTCAGCTGAAACATTTCCATGTTGGTTTTGAACAGGCTCCTCTTTCCAGGAATACTGCAGTTACCTTATTTTTCCCTCCCCTTGTTTTGCATAACAACGAATTCCACTAACTTTTTAAGACAGCTGCGCTACCTACCTGTTCCTTCCTGGATACAGCCAAAACTTTCATGTTTGGTTAATCTAAAACATTGTATTTTAAATAAGCCCTGGTTTCCCACGCATTTCCTGCAGTTAAGCACTATACAGTCAGATGCAGAGCATGATTAATGGAGTAGCAACAGGAATTTTTTTCTCTTTCATTAGTTGGATGGAGTTTGTTGACATTCAGTAAATCAGTACAAGACCCATTTCTACTCTAGTTTTTGCCAGGAGAAATTTAAAAAAAAAGTATGTTGTTGGGTTTTTTGTTTGTTTGTTTGGAGATCACAAGACAGAGGACAACTGAAAAAGAGTACAACTAATTTTTAAATATTTCTCTAACAGTAAGTTCACACATACTATATTTAATACAAGATGCTGACAATTTGTTTGAAAGTATTAATAACACTATTTTTACTTTATGATGATTTTTAAGAAAAATAGGGTTCCTTTTGGTTTGGGTTTCTTTTTTTTCCCCAAAGGTATTCTAAAAATAGAAATAACTGAGAATATTCTCGCCAAAAAGTTCATTCTGCGCACACAGCACATCAAACATCTTGTCTTACCCTAAAATACAACTGGAAAATTCAAAACATTAAGTATGTTTAATACACTGAATCCTTGAAGAGGAAGAAATATTTACGAGCTGCCACAACTTCCTGGCAGCATACTCGCTTCCCAGCGACTCTCCTCCAGACTAATGGGACCTTCTGCAAAAGCAGAAACATTTCCAAAGAGCACAGAAAGGTTAAAGTTAAATTCATGGATGGCTTTTCAGCTTGTCGGCCTGAAACTTAAGAGAGTCTGTGACTCTTCAGGGCAAACACAAAAATGCAAAGTTAAAATTAAAGACTTCTATCTCTTGATTATTTACTTATTATTTTCTTAAATGAAAGCCTTAAGATGCTTTAAGAAGCATATTTCTCAAAATACTCCTGTGCCTGTTTCTTGTAACCTTCTGACTATGCAGCCAGGCTATGCAGTGACTACAGCTGTATCAGCTTCAGCTGTAAAATAAAGTATGAAAAAACAACTTTGTTTTTATATCATATCTAGAGAACAAGGACACAACCAGTCTTAAAAAAATATATACTAAAAAAAAGAATTACTGAATTTATTTTAAAGACAGTGAAAAAGTATCAGAATTATTTAAGACTTTAAACTTCTGAACTGCAATTCTTCATTGATTTTTTTTTATTATTTAAGTGCTAACTGATGTTAGTAAAGAATTTCCAGAGTTAGATACTATTCCACACTGGAAAAGATAAATTACAGACTCTGAGATTCCTACAATGCTATCACAAATACAATCACCAAGTAAAATTAAGAAAGCAGTAAGTGTACCTATCATGCCTTTCCACTGTACTAATCTTCCGTACATTTAATTTAAACTTCTTCAATCATTCTGTTCTCTATTAAGGTTGTCAAAAAATGAATTAATCTAGCTATGCACTCTCTCATTTAAGCAGGTGGACTTCAGTCAGACTCCCATATCGTAAAACTTTGGCTCAGTATGTACTGCAAACTCTGTTCAAATATTAGAAACTGAAATAACATGTCGTTTTTTCATTTTAAAGCAATTCCCCTTTGAAGCGACAGACTAAGCCACAACATTTTAAAACAGAGCTACCTCAAACTGGCAGTCTGCAAATGCAGCTTAGACCTGGCCCAAGTCCCAGACACGGGATAGTCCCCTCCATCTCATACCTTCCTCACAGTTTCTCAGAAAACTGTGGCACATGTTTAGAGCTCCAAGATAGGATGGCAATGTTCAGCATTTCATTAGCCTGGTAAAGCACACAAGAGGACATTACTTCCTGTTATTCTGCTCTCATTAGAAAAAAATAAAAAAGAGTATTTTTACTGAAAATGGGACTACTTGATCTTCAGTTAACGTATATAGTCTTGCTCACAACGAAAGTTTTGTAGTTGGTAAACTGCTTGCAAATGCAAGACCTCAGCTTTCAGTTTTATTTTTCCTACAGTTGGTTTCACAAACTTCAAGTTATCCTGATGAACAGCATTACTGCTCTTTCATCTAGAGTTGCAATAGCAAAACACTCCAATAAATTTTAGTCTCAACCCATTTTACCAGTATTGTAGATAGGGAAAATTAAGGGATTTAGATCAGTACACCACAATCTGATGCCAAATTCTTTCAAGTCTTCTCAGGGTCAGCCAAGTCCTGGAAGAAGTTCTTGCTTTCTAAGTGATACAATCTCTTCCACACCCGTATCCACCCTGCACAATCTTGAAGCAGGACTCTTAGATGTTTTGCTTTTACAAAAGACACACTGTTCCAGCATTAAATCTTGTTCAGGAAAGATAAAGAAAATTTTCAAAATGTAAGATAAATTTCAGATAACTCTAAATATTAAATATTTTTTAAAATTAAGATTTGCACTAAAATTCCAAATGGATACTTTAAAGGCATGGATATGTCCTTTGCTGAACATCTGGCTGGTGAGACTATGAAGGGTGATACACCTCATCATGAACCTATATACTGAATAACTGGAGGTAGTTACCCATTAACATAAATTCGTAACTATTCTTAAATTAAACAAAACATCACCCACATATTGCAGCTCTATTTTAATGACAGGAAGTGGACAATAATTGGCTTCCAAAAAATACAAATGGCAAAAGCATTTACTGAAGTATTCATTGCGTTTCACCCCCTTTTTTTAAAAATAGTCATTTTTAAACTGTCATTTTTAAAAAAGTTTCTGAATTTCTGTGGTGCCATAAGCTTTTTTACTGCACTGTTAAATAAATTTATTCCTTACCACTTTTGTTAACTCTTCTCCCTTTTTAAAACGGGAAGTTATCAAAATGCTTATTGCTACAAAGGAAAACATTCCTGGAGGCAGCGTATGTAAACAGCCCATAGAGCAGCACAGCACACAATTCACAACTCCCAAAACCTAACCCTGCACAGAACTAGTGTGCTTTTCTAGTTCTGCCCTGTTTAGCTTCAAAAAGCTGTTTAGAAATAATACTTTTACTGTATACAAGTAAGAATAAAGGAGCCAAAAAATATACTCCTTATAGTGACTGGATATATACCATACATCAAAGACTTTATGCTTATTAACAGAAAAAAATAAGATTGCTGCATCACGCACATCTAAATGAAATGAAGAAAAAAAAATTCAGAGTCACTAACAAATGTTTTTTTAGGAATATGAACTTAAATAGTTACCAAGCAAATTCTGTCGCAGACAAACCATGTGCCTCCAGAACTGGAGATTCCTGGAAGGGAGGATCTGTCAGCACTCACTGCTCCTGAAGCACTGACCAAAATTTTGTTAGCTGCAAAGAGAGGTCTGGATGACTCAGTAAATACTTGACGAAAGCTTGGAAAGCAGAACAAGGCAAAACACATACACTACTGAGAGCTGGTAGAAAGTAAAGTAATTTATTCAAAGTATTCTTTGAGAATAGGAAGGTTGGTTAGGATATTCTAAGATTAGTTTAAAAGTGACCACAAATCAGTTACAGGGAAGGAGGTAGGGAAGAATACACACACGTAACCATGATCCGCTGCAGTTACAAAAATTTGATGGTAAGCAAGTTTTTTAGACTTTGAAGTGACAGAAAGAAACCCTCTGCACATTCACTGGACAGTTCCTACATTAAGAGGCTACATAGGAAGATTTTTTTTTTTTTTAAATTAAATATTCACTGCAGTGTCAATCATCACTGAGCAGGATTTTTACAAGGCATAAGGTTTCACAGCAGCAAAATCTACCGTCAGCAGTCCTACTCTTGGCTGGCTTGTTAAATTTTCAGCCAGCTGGCTCCTCAGTGCAGCTTTGCTACAAGGTAACAGCCATGGTTACACTACACTATAGGGATAGGACCACATTAATAGCCACAGTTGAAATTTACAGTATCCTAACAGCCAAGAAACTGTATCTGAAGATCAAGGTACACAGAAATGAAGAAAGGCAAGCACTCTGCTGTCTAAATTCACTTTATCAGTAGGATGAATCCTTTTATGATGGACAACACTGCATATATATATATATATATGTATAACATGTAACCGATCACATGTGGTGGTGG